CCCCTGGTTTAGATTCATGTGTTTCAAGCATGGCCACCTTAAGACTTGTGAACTCCAACTCCCAGAATTCCTGAGCTAACATGACTGGAGGAGGAAGTCTGGGAGTTGAAGTCCACAAATCTTAAAGCTGTCAAGTTTGGAGACCTCTGCTGTAAAGGAACCACAGGAAGCCATTCTAGTGTTGATCGGACAAACATCAATGATCTTAAATTATGTGAATTGGGAGACGGATGCCTTGAGTGTGACAGAGCAACAGGTTTGAAAAAGAAAATTGCTCTGGCCTCTCTGGAAATCACAACCATTTATTTCAATAAAATTTGCTGAAATTGCTTACATTCACAAATGAGAGGATGTGATAGTAACTTTAGTAACTATTTACTTTAGTAACTATTACACAGAGAATCGCCAGTGGTGGCTAACCTTTTGGGGCTCCTGTGCCTAAAATTGTGCATGCACTTGCACGCTCACGTTTGCGTGCCAGCACCCAAAAGGCAATGCGCGGTCCCCCTATGCCCCGTACATGTGCGCCCACAATCCCCACCCACCCCCTTTACCTGCGCTGCACCTCACAGCTGATTTTCAGCCGGATTGAGGCCTTTTTCGGCCTCCCAGAGGCTTGAGGAAGGCTTCTGCAGGCTTTGCAGGCTGAAAACTATCCCCGTTTCGTCACTTCCGGTATTTTCAGAAAAACAGGACGTGATGAAACGGGGCTACTTTTTGGCCTGCAAAGCCTACAGAAGCCTGCGGAAGCCTTCCTCAAGCCTGTGGGAGGCCGAAAAAGGCCTCAAACTGGCCGAAAATCAGCTGTGAGACGTGCACATGTGCAGTGAGGTAAGTTTGCCTGCAGCTCGCGTGCTGGCACAAATGGCTCTGTGTGTCACCTGTGGCACGCCATAGTGTGTCACCTGTGGCACGCCACCTGTGGCATGCCATAGGTTCGCCATCACGGGAATAGGCGTTTCCTTACTTATATAAGCAAATAAAATAGAAATGCTTGCTGAAATATTGTAGGTTGTCAGCCTTATGGGGGGGAATCCATCTTTTTTTTTAAAAAATTAATTCTTTATTAAACAAACACAAAGACGGAGAATTCTTACAATAAAAAAGTTGAACGTGGTGCAGTCTCCTTAACATCAATCATTGTCATTACTTCACTAAATCCAATAGTAATATTACATAATTCTCCTCTATACACTTTAAATAAAATACAGTACATACTTATAATCATTCCTTATTCTCATTGATCTTCCTCGTCTCTAGCCAACCATAAAATTTCTCCCATGTTTTATAATAATCTTCCTTATTTTTTAGTTCTTTTGTTAATTTATCAATTTCTGCGCACATTGTGATTTTCTTCAATATTTCCAATTCATTTGGGATGTCTTTATTTTTCCAGTTCTGTGCATATGCCAACCTTGCTGCAGTAATTACATGAATCATTAAATACAGAGTTTCTTTATCGTATTTCCCAGTGTTAATTCCCCACAGAAAGAACTCAGGCCTGTATTGTACAGTATTTTAATTCCACACATTTCTTCTATCCACTTATGTGGATTTTGCCAATATTTTTGGGCCTCCTTGCAACTCCACCATAAGTGATAGTAAGTTCCTCTTTCTTCATTACATTTCCAACATATAGGGGAAAATTTAGAGTTCATTTTTGCCAATTTTGATGGTAGTATATGCCATCTATAAAATAATTTATACAGATTTTCTTTAAAGGGTATCGCTAATGTCATTTTTTAAATTTCTATTCCATACTTTCTGCCAATCATCTAATTTTATGCTATGACCAAAGTTTTTCATCCATACCACCATCGTTTCTTTTACTTTTTCTTCTTCTAATTTAAATTCTAATAAAACTTGATATATTTTTTAAATCATCTTCTGGTTGGGGCGGGAACCCATCTTTGCTCAGATCTGATTAAATTACCGAGTGTAACTTAGAATTGGAGTCGGTTTGTCAAGCTGGGCAAGATCTAGGGATTGTGTAGGAGTTCACGTTAGCCAGCAGTGGCCTAAAGCACTGTGTCCATCAATACCTACATAGGATATACTGTCTCTATATATCAGGGATCTTCAAACGTGGCAACTTGGAGACTTGTGGACTTCAACTCCCAGAATTCCCCAGCCAGCATGGCTGGTTGAGGAATTCTGGGAGTTGGAGTCCACAAGTTTTAAAATTGCCGAGTTTGGAGACTTCTGCTATATATGGACCCACTTGACACATGTAAGTCAGGTGGGGTGGTCCTTGCAGTGGGTCTCAGCCCCCTCAACCGAGCAAAAGGAAAAGGCAGAAGTTGTCCCAGGTCAGACAGGCAAACAGGGAGTAACAGGGACTCTGTTGGCCATCATTCCCCTCTTGCTTATGAAAACGGATGGGGAAATCTCAAGTCTGCTCCCTAGGGAGGATAATGGCGTACTTTTTCAGCTGGAATGAAATTGAGGCTTTGGGTATCCCTCCAGCGCAAGGGGTCGCCAACCTTTTGGACCTCAGGGACCATCAAACTCATAATTTTAAATCCCAGGGACCACTAGCCGGTTCTGTGGGCATGGCCTAATTTGTGGGTGTGGCTTGGTGGTCATGTGACTGGCTGGACATGGCTTGTATGTAAATATTATAAATATTATAAATATATTGATTTTTTTTATAAAAAAGAGCAACTTTTACCCAAAATCAGGCAAAGCAGGCAGGCAGATTGAGTTGCTCACAGAATCATTTGGTGAACTATCTATCTGCCATCAGCTAGTTGAGTCTGTCACCTAAAATTTGCTTGCCGTGACTCTACACTGAATAATAGAAACTTCAGTCCTAAGGGAGGTTCAGCTATGCTTAAAAGCAGAGCCAAAGATCTAAAGATTAGCTGGAAAACAAGAAATTCAACCATTCCCTGCTTCCTAGCTAATCTAAATCTCCCGGCACAGCAGAACAGCTGATGGTCGGAAAAAGGAAAAATAGCAACTTAGCAAGCAAGTTTGTCGGGTAAGGAATGAGCGGGTGGGGAGGATTCCTGTAGGCCATGTGGACAGCGCAGCCTTGTGTTTCTGTGCAGCCTGGATGCTTTGGGGAGGGTGCTCTGGGGGTAAGATTTCTCTGTGGCCCACCAAAATTTTCGCGCGGACCACAGACCACCGGTTGGCGACTGCTGCTCCAGGGACCATGTCTCCTTGCTATTGTTTGAGATATTTTCAGACTTGAAGAAGAATGAATCTTCATCTTTTCTTCAGTTGTGCCAAAAAGTGCTTTTTCAAGAGGCAATAGGGCTTTCTGGTTTTTCTTGGAAGATGTTTCGATTCTCATCCGAGAAGTTTCTTCAGCTCTGACTGGATGGTGGGGTGTGGAAGGCTTTAGATTCCTTGCAGACAGCTGGTCATTTGCGTTGCTTTAGAGAGTCGTTGAGGCCACTTGGAGGCATCCAAATGGTGTGGGAATATGAATGGATTTCCAGAGAAAAATTGCAGACTACAGGAACCATTTGCGCTTCAGTCTGAGATGCAAACAACACAGACTCATCTCCAACAGCCTGCGCCCGTGTTCAACAGTGAAGGGACGCAGGGTGGAAACATCCTGCAGAAAGCACAGCTCCACAACACAGTCCTTTTGGCAGTTCCAAGAAGGCTCCACACCTATTTGCACCATTCAGGTGACCCTGAGGACACAGACAAACCTCCAAGTGGCCTCAAGGGCTCTCAGAAGGGATACAAATGACCAGCTGTCTGCAAGGAATCTAAATCCTTCCATTATCCACTGTCTAGTCAGAGCTGAAGAAACTTCTTGAATGAGAAGCCAATTGTCTCCAAAGAAAAACCAGAAAGTCCACTTGTCTCTTGTCTCAAAAGCACCTTTGGGACAACCATGATCTGGATGACTGAGAATCTCCATAGATTTTTCTTCAGTTCTTTTTTCCTTCATTCGACAGGTACCTGAGAAAACCCGTGTCCAAAGTTTTGCTTGCAAATTGTCTCTGGTTACAAAGCACACTGCAAGTGAGCAGCCTCCAGAAATGATGCCGGGGGGAAAACCCTTTGAACAAAATTCCCCTCAGAAGAAACAAGAGAGGTTTTCCACATGCTCTGAGTGCAGGAAAGCCTTTACTCATCGGTCTCTTCTTTTGATCCACCAGAAGCTGCACATGGGGAATGGATCACATCTCTGTTTGACATGCGGGAAATCCTTTCCTGGAATGTGGAGCTTTGCCAAACATCTCCGGAGCCACCCTGGAGTGAAGCCTTACAAATGCGGAGGGTGCGGGGAGCGTTTTGCTAAAGGCTCGGACCTTGGAGCCCATCAGCGAATCCACCAGGGAAGAAAGAGATCTCAGGAATGCTGGAAGTGGAGGAAAAGATTGTGGTTATGTCAGAAATCAGAGCTTCACACACGAGAGAAACATTACAAGTGCGGCCAATGCGAGAAGACCTTCCCTCAGAAGTCGCAGCTTTGGCTCCACCAGAAAGTTCACCAGGAAATAAAGTCTTACAATGCGTGCGGGGGTGAAATTGCCCCGCGATCCTCTCTTCGGAGTCGCAAGAAAAAAAACCGACAGGAGAAAAATGAAGAGTGTCCAGAATGCGGGAAATGTTTTTGCACCAAGGCCTCCCTGATACGACATCAGAGAATCCACTCTGGCGACAGACCCTATCAATGCTCGGACTGTGAGAAAGAATTTGTGTATTTTTCGGACCTTTGCAGGCACCAGGAACGGCACAGAGGAAAGAAACACTATAAATGTGAGGAGTGTGGGAAAAGCTTTTCTTGCAAGTCCTATCTTCGTTCACACCAGGATGCCCACACAGGGGGGAAACCCTACAAGTGCACAGAGTGTGGGAAGTGCTTCCATGTAAAGGGAGGCCTGTGGCAACACCAGAAGATTCACTCGGGGGAGAAGCCCTTTCAGTGCATCGAGTGTGGAACATTTTTTCTTACCAAAGGAGGCCTCACACGTCACGGGCAAGTTCACAAAGGAAGAAAAGATCACAAATGTTTAGACTGTGGGGAAACATTTTCTTATTTGTCAACCCTGAGAAAACACAGCCTGATAAAGCACGTAGGAGTGACTTATCTGAAATGTTTGGAGTGCGGTAAATGTTTTTACAGGAAAACCCATCTTTTGCAACATCAGGCCACTCATACTGGAGAAAAACCTCATAAATGCTTGGCCTGTGGGAAGAATTTTGCTCTCAAAGATTACCTTAAAAAGCACGAGAGAGTTCACTCAGGAGAGAAACCTTACAAGTGTGGGAAATGTGGCAAGGCCTTTGCTCGCAGCTACGACCTCCGGGCCCACGAGCAGATTCACACAGGGATAAAACCTTATCAGTGCTTAGAGTGTGGAATGAGTTTCACTCATACTTCATCTCTTCGGAGTCATAAGAGAAGACACGACTCTCAGAAAAAGAAGAAGTGAACAGAATGTGGGAAATGCTTCGCTCAGACAGGAGGACTCCGTGCCCATCTGAGAATCCACACAGGGGAGAAGCCATATCTGTGTTGGGAGGGTGGAAAATGTTTTACTCAACAGGGAGAACTTTGGAAACATCAGGTGGTTCACTTGGGGGAGAAGTCCTGTAAATCAGGGGTCCCCAACCACCGGGCCCTGGACCGGTACCGGTCCGTGGAACATTTTCTACAGGGCCGCCGGTTTGCTGGGCGCCGCCATCTTGTTTTGATGAGAAAGTGCTTCCGGGTGAGCTTTTCCGGTTGGAAAGCGGTGTTTGGGTCCTGAAGGAATCCTCGCGCCTTAGTTTCATCGAAGGGGGCGGGGCGGCTTCGAACAAAACTAAGGCGCGAGGATTCTTTCAGCACCCAAGGCAAGGCGAGCCGAGCGACCGTCCCGAAGCCGTCCCGAAGCCCATCAACAAAGGTACAAAGGAGGAGTTGAAGGTGGCGGGGAGAAGCGGGGGACGGCTGGCTGGCCGGTCGCTCGGCTCGCCTTGCCTTGTCATGCGTGCTAATGCCAGTACCGGGCCGCGGATCATTTTGTGATGCCGGTACCGGGCAGTGGCACAAAAAAGGTTGGGGGCCACTGCTGTAAATGCATCAAGTGTGGAATTGAGTTCCGTCAATGAACAGTCCGTAGAAGACACACAAAAGTTCACCTACAGCAGTGATGGCGAAACTTTTTCGGCACCGAGTGCCCAGATCAGAACACGTGAGCATATGCACAAGCTGGAGTGTCAGAAACCCGAAGACCAGCTGGTCGGTGCACGCATGTCTGTTTTGGGGCATTTTGGGTGGCCTTTTCAGACCGTTCTGAGGCCATTTTTGCCTTGAAAACGGTCCGAAAAGCGGCCTGTTTTGGGCGCGTTTTTTGGCTCATTTTCAGCCATTTTCTAGACCGTTTCAGGCCATTTCTTGAGCTGTTTCCAAAATTGGCCCAGAAAACAGCCGGATAACGGCCTGAAAGCAGTCTGGAAAACGGCCTGAAAATAGGCCAAAAAATGGCCTAGAAAACGGCCCGAAAAATTGTTTCTTGGCCATTTTTCAGGCCATTTTCGGGTGCTCTGGCGCCAGCAAAGACCAGTTGGCTGGCGTGCCAGAAACCAGAAGAGCAGCTGGCGATGCTGTGCGTGGCCATAGAGAGGGCTCTGCGTGCCACCTCTGGCATGTGCGCCATCATGGACCGAGAGGAAGAAATTATAAATCTTTAGACAAGTCACAATCCCCTCCTGCCCTTATTTCTACAGGTAGTCCTCGAGTTATGAGCACAACTGAGCCCAAAGTTTATGTTGCTAAGTGAAACGTTTGTTTAAGTGAGTTTTGCCCCATTTTATGACAATTCTTGCCACCGTTAAGTGAATCACCACAGTTGATAAGTTAGTAACATGGTTGTTAAGTGAACTGGCTTCCCTCATTGACGTTGCTTGTCGCAAAAAGGAGATCACATGACCACAGCACTTGTTCTGACCCAAACCTTGTTCCAAGTAAACAAGCACCGAACAGATAAAAGCAAAACCTTTTAATGCCTCTCTGCAAATTCCGTTAATTCACGGTTAAAAGGCTACTGAAACTAATTGTCTCTGATAAGAATGAGCCTTGCCAAGGTTGTGCAAGGCTGCCAAGAACGCTAGATAAAGTTGCCAAGAAATATTCCAAACAAAAAGTCTTCAAACACAAACCAAGATAGTCCAAACTTCCACAAGGCTTGAAGTTCAAGAACTTCTTTGCTTCCTGCAAAGAACTCCGGTTTCTCAGCTGGCTTTTATCTCTTGAGGGAGGGGCCATTACCTTGTAGCCTTACTCCCGAGCCGCCCGTGCTGCTGCAGCTGCTCTTTCCTATGAGCAGCCCTGCGTGCAGGCGCACTGGGCACAGGCTCCTCTTCATCACTGCTGCCAGCCTCCACAATCGCTGAAGGCAGCACTCCACTCTCTGATGGTCCTGGCCCCATCCCTGCATCACACGCAGGCCCCTTCTCCGATTCCTCGCTCTCCGAGACCTCATCCGTCCGCACCCGCTGCCAGCGAGCCACAACAGCACATTGCGACCATCATAAATATGAACCAGTTGCCAAGCATCTGGATTTTGGTCACATGACTCTGGGGATGCTGCAATAATTGTGTGGAAAATTGCCATAAGTCACTTTTTTCAGTGTTGTTCTAACACCACTAAACGAACTGTTATAAGTTGAGGGCTACCTGTATTCTCACATTCACACATAGAAACACTCTCTCGGGAACGTGATCAGGAAAGTATTAGAATGTGCAGAAATGAATAGGTTAACGCTTGCAATCAAAGAGAAGGAACAAACTGAATATTATATGATATAAGAACTATTTTATCGATGGCTAGAGAATATGAAAGTTGGAAACAGAAGATGATTAGTGAAATATAGAAACTATGTTAATAGAATTAAATATGTTAAGATGAGGATTGTTATAATGATATTATGTACACCAGTATTAAGTAGTTAAGAGTAGAAAATTAATATGAATGTAATGAATAAGGTGGCACACTCTTAATTGTTAATGCACAAGATACCGTGTTTCTCATAAAATAAGGCTGGGTCTTTTTTTTTTTTTTTGAGCCGTGAAAAAATAGTTAGGATGTCTTTTCCCCCACCCCTTGCATCCTTGGGTGGACGGGTGGCAATGGCATGGATGTTAGCCTCGGCGGGGCACCCGCCGCTGTTGCTTCCTCTGGGAGCGTCCTCTTCTGTTTGGACTGCCGCTGCTGTGTTTGGAGCTGCCACTGCGGCGTTTGAAGTGTCGCCACTGTGTTTGGAGCTGCTGCCGCCACATTTGGAGCGTTGCCGCCGCGTTTTGAGCTGCCACCACTGCGTTTAGAGCTACCGCGGCGGCCCTTCAAGCATTGCCGCCACGTTTCGAGCGGCACTGCCGTGTTTCGAGCATCGTCACCGAGTTTTGTGCTCCAAACGCGGTGGCGGCAGCTCCAAATTCCGCGGAGACGCTCCAAATGGAAGAGGATGCTCCAAGAGGAAACAGAGGTGGCGGGTGCCCCGCCGAGGCAGACATCCACACCAACGCTGCCCGCCCGCTGACCAGGCCTGTAGGCAGCATCATACCCGGGTCTGCAGCAAAGGTACTTGGCAGGAGTAGGGAGCTCTCTGCCATGATCGGCCATTTGGAGCGGCTGGTGGCGAGACATGGCTGCCCACGGGGCACTCCTAACGGCAAGGATCCCCCCCCGCTCTTCCCCCCATTTTGCATGTTTTAAAATAGGCCTAAATTTGGGGGGAGGGGCTTAATTTCATTTTATGCCTAAAAAACATGGTGGGCCTTCCTATTGGGGGGGCGTATTGTTGGAGAAACACGGTAGTTGTACCCAGAAGACGTACCGGTCAATGGAAGATGAATTGTTTATATTAAAAATAAAAGAAAAAATATATTTTTTAAAAAGAAAGACTCTCAAGAGTCTTGTCAAGGAGCCTGATCATCTCTCTTGGACTACTGCTATCTGTCCTACATGGGGCTCCCCTTGGAGAACATGTCAGAAGCTACAGTGAGTGCAGAATGCGGGAAGCAGACAGGCGTTGGGGCCGCTAGAGTGGCCTGCTCTATGGATGCTGGTTTCCTTCCGGGTGCAATTCAAGAGGTTGGTTATTACATTTAAAACCCTTCATGGCATTGGTCCAGGCTATTTCAGGAACCACCCCATGCCATTGTGATTGGCCCACTTCCTCTTTGCCAGCAGAAAGGGCATGCTTAATGTTTGTAAGCCACTCAGATTTGCCTGTAGGCGTGATGGATAGCAAAAATAAAAAGAGATAAGGGAGGAAAGAGAAAAAAAGAAAGGGAAAGAGGAGAGAGAACGAAAGACAAGGGAGGTCGAAGAAAGGAAGGAAGGAAAGCTTTGTTGGCATAGAAAACAAACTTCGGTCTATTGTATTTGTAGCAAAAAAATTTGAAGCAAGTGTAAATTATTCAGATGTTCAATAAGTCTAAGCAATAAAAAAGTGTAATTTATATATCAAATATATATAACCTTGATGGGGAATTATGTAAGGCATTGTGTAAGAATGTTAGCTGACAGGAAATAATCAAGGCTATACAAATCTTAGCATATTTCCAGTTAGGACATTAGTTGGCAGGTCAAAGGAAAATAGTTGGCAGGTCAAGAAACCAGTTGTCATGATAAAATTAATAATAGTAGGATGTTGCAACTTATCAGGGGGATTGAGTAACTGGATAGATTGTGAACCCAGAAAGGGGCAGTGACTGTTTTTGAAACTGTATATAAACCCCAATTATTCCTGTGAAATATGTCTCCCGTGACTCTCACCCAGAAGAGAGCAGGAGTCAAGCCTTTGCAAACGCTTATTAAAGCTCCTTATTCTTGTTGAAGAGTCTCCTGTTAATTTCACCCTGAAAGGGTTAAATTTCACATTTATGTCTAACAAAGAAATTTGAAGCAAGTGTAAATTACTCAGAAGTTCAACAAGTTTAAGCAATAAAAAAGTGTAATTTTAAAATCCTGGCAGTCTTTGATATAGAACATTGTTATTTAATCCTTACATTATTGTGTCTTTGGTTGGATTTTCGTACTTGCTGAAGAGGAAAAGTGATTGCCCTTAATATACCTTAATATACCTATGTATGTATGTATGTATGTATACATATACATACATGCATACATACATACATACATTTTCCTAGATTTTCACGGGTACAGGTATGTAGGTCTAGGTGTGTTTGGGTCTTTTCCCATGTAAGATTAAGAGTATCTTGGCGACATTTCGGCGAGGTCCCACTCGCCATCCTCAGGCTGGTGCTTTTGGCTTCGTGCCAGTGCAAGCAGTGTGTGATCGGAGCTGCCGTCTCTCTATAAATTCTGGTGGTGGGGGTTGGTGTGCTGGGCTGGTTGGCTGCGCTGCTGCCTCTTGATTGGTTGATGGAGTTGATGTTGGTATAATGGGTTGTGTGATGGCCTTGTGAATTTTGTTGTGGCTATGAAAACCAACACCTGACCCAAAACAACACGGGACACCACCGCCAATCCCCCTCATCAGACCCAGGCCCAAGCCCATCCTATAAACGAAGGACAACCACCATCCAGAAAACAGACCATGGCTGCTTCGCCAGCTGTCGCGCTCCCCGACCC